AACGGAAGGTGATTTATGGAATATCAATGCCGTCATGAATAGGAGTTGTATTGAAAGCTTGGAGCCACGAACTGCCTCAGAATATTATCCCAGATCGACTGCTTAATACTACGAAGGATCATCATCAACAAAAAGAAGGTTCTCGATTCTAAAGAAAACCATAAAAAAAAAAAATACTGTATCCCCTTTCTTCACAATCACGTCACAGCTTCCACATAACTGATCATTCACTAGAAGAAAATTTAGAACATATCAGTGGACCAAATAAATTTCACTGTTTCTTCTTCTTTCTTTTGGATAAATTGCAAAAAAATGACACAAAAACATTGACGGCATTAGCCCTACCTCAACAATGTTCGCAAATGATCCTTCCAATAGATTTTGCCAATGCAGATTACAATGGTACCTGCAAAACAACTAGAGTGAATGAGCTAGGGCACAAGAAAAAGATGTTGTCAAGAGAACAAACAACAAACGCTGCAAATGCAGAGGAATATGATTGCGGAACGCTATGATTCTCCATGATTGTCATGCAAAGCATAGTGCATTTTTATTCACAATTTGTTTGGGCATCAAGCAGAGTTGAAGATAGGTCATCAATATAGCAAGAGGAAGATCCAACCCAACGAGAAAACCCACCCGAATGTCCGTCTTTGACCTTCAATGGCTGGTTTTTTGGAAATTTATGGGAAGCATCTCCACTGGAAAGTATCAATTTGTATTACGCATCGAATCGAGGAAGCAGAAATGGAAATCGATGCCTCCAAAAACCATAAAACTCACGCGAACCCTAGAAAACCCACTGTACATGGCCGAATCAATTCACTGGACCCGATCGCCATCAATGAGGATGCTCGGGATGTCTTGGATGAGGGGCCAATAGTCGCCGCCGAGGTTTGAGCATCGGTCTTTCAGAATCTCGCATCCATATATCCACAATCGTAGGAGGGAGGGAGGGAGGCCATCCTCTGGCAAGTACCTCAACTTGGGGCAATCTTGGATCCATAACTGTTGGAGAGAGGAGAGACGGTTGCGAAGACCGCTCGACAGTCTTTCCACGTTCTTCATATGTGAAATATCAAGAGTGGTTAGAGAGGAAGGGAAGAGAAGACTCCACGCATCCTCCTCCTCGTTCTCCTCCGAAGGAAACCTCACCTTCTCTCCCTCCCCTCCCATGCTCCTTCCGTCAATTGATAGTCTCTCGAGGGATGTGAGAAAGGGTAAGCCCCATTCTCTCACAGGCTGCTCCAGATTCTCGCACCTTCTAATTATAAGGTGCAGCAAATTGGGAGGAAAACCTCCTTCGGGGAAGCGTTTGATATTTTGGCGAGAAATCCATATGGACATGAGGGATGTAAGATGATGCCACTGATTTGGTAGCGACTTTACCTTCGGACAATTACTGAGCCAGAAATATGACAAGGTGATGGGAAGGGGAGGGAAGTCCTCTATCTCCAATGCTGGACAGTCACATATTTCCAAACGAGTGAGATGGGAGGGCGTGCGAAGGCACTGTGGTAGGCTTCTTAGTTTCATACAGTTGTTAATAGTTAAATATTTCAACGATTCTATGGCAATCTCTTCCATCGACTCCACTCCCTCGCAATCACTAATTTTAAGTGTCTTCAGAGCAGCAAGTTGAGGCATCGGGTTAATACTGGTGGGGTCATCGGGAGCAATGATAAATCCCTTGAGTTTTGGACACTTCTCAATAACCAAATTTCTGAGGGCTTGCATCTTGCTCGGAAGCTTTTCTAAACTCATGCAATTCCTTAATTCCATGCTTTCAAGGTTGGAAGGCAGCCCTATCTCTTTTTCTCCTGCCACAAAAGACGTGAATTGAGCACAGCTTTGGATGGCTAATTTCTGGAGGCAAATAAGATTTCGTGTTTCATTTTCATCTTGCCACAAGTGTGTTAGCTTGTCACAGCTTGTTATTTCAAGCTCCTTTAGCTTGACCCAACCGCTCATAAACTCATGATTAAAGCAAACGAGATCTGCAAGATTTTGAACTCTGAGAACGGTTAAAGAAGTTAGGCTGACCAAGCACGTTAAGATCTCCTTATTACAATCCTCAAGGTATAACTCGCGGAGAGATGGAAGACGAACCATGCCGGTTAAGTTATTCAAATGCGGGCATGAATGAATTTCAAGTTTTATGAGAAGATCAAGTTGACAAGGCAATGTCCCGACCAACAAAGGACAGCTCCGGACAACAAGATGCTGAAGACAGGAGAATGGGAATTCTTCCATTGGGTCCCCGGCATAACGACCCCAATCCTTCCATGCCAACATCTCTTCAAACCTCAAAGTTGTTAAGGTCGAGAAAGGCCTTTTACCACCGTAAAATTCAGAGCCTATCATTCTTACTGCATGTAGACCTTTAAGAGATAATTCCTTAAGTGAAGGTAGTTGTCCAAGTAGGGGCGACGTGACATTAGGGACAGATCTCGCAAGTACAAAGACACTATCTTAGAATATGATGGACTATCTAACCAGGATGGGAGTTTTGCACCACCATAGTACGAGATAGTGAGATTTTCAAGATTAGTGTGAGGTTGGAGAAAGTGAAGCACCTGCGCTTCACGCTTATCATCCCGCAAATTTCCAAAATCTTCACCCCAATGCAAGGCTAAGTTGCTAAGGCCTTGCTTTCCCGACAAATTAGCATCAACCGCGTCTCTCACTTCTTCCACCTTTTGCAATTCGATATGAGTAATTCTCCTTGAAGATGTGGCAACTTCTTTAACTCTTTTAAGCTGTGACCCTTTCTCTATTCCTACCACAAACTTGGACAAGATTATAAGATTCTTCAAATTATAGATACCCAATGGCATCACTTTTAGACTATATGTATCTCTAATGTCAAGAAACTGTAAGCTGATCAATTTTGTAATACTTGGAGGCAACATAGAAAGCTTTCGACAACCTCTCAATATCAAAGCTTGTAATTTGCACAAGGTGCTAATTGACTCGGGTAGCCATTTGATATCAGTGTACGAGAAATTGAGATATCGAAGATGTTTTAAATCACCGACACAATGCGGTACCTCTGTGATGTAACAATGACATAACGAGAACACCCTCAAGTACTTTAAGTTTGTTAGCACATCATGTAGCACCTTGCTGGAAATAGAGAAAGAGCCCCCACTATATCCAACACGTACTAGAATTAAACTTCTTAGTACCTTCATTCCGTGATATGCTCCCAGGCATTTTGATGTAACATGCCATGTTGTCATGAATGATGCATAACGAGCTTTCTCTAGAGATGCATCGTCTTCATTACCTGCCAGCTGGGAGTCCCCTGATCTATAGCATGTCCCACCCGCAATTGACTTTGCTAGATCATTCAGAAGATCATGCATTGAAAACTTAGATGCATCGACCCTTGATTGTTGAAGAAATGATCTCGATACTAACTCATCGAAGTGATCTTGTCCCAGTCTCAAGATATCCTCATTTGCCTTTTGTCCATCTAAAAAGCCCTCTGCTATCCATAAGAGTACCAACTCTTCCCTCTCAATTTCATAATCCTTGGGAAATACCGCACAATAAGCAAAACATCTCTTCAAATAAGAAGGAAGATGGACATAGCTCAATTTCAAAACTGGGAGTACCTCATCTTTTTTTCCCTTTGGAAGATCCCATATTCTGTTATTTAAGATAGCTTTCCATTTATCTGGATTCCTTTCGTTACATAGGACACCACCCAACATCTTCGCTGCCAAAGGTAAGCCTTTACATTTTTTAGCTAATTCCTTGCCTATTCTTTCAAGATCTGGGTGGCTTTCAAAATTTGTTGCTCCAAGAGCATGAAAGGTTAATAAGCTTGTACAATTACCAAGGGACAGTGCTCCAAATGATACGGTGAAGCTCCTCTTATGGAAACAACGGGAAGGTTGCGAGTCGTGACAATGATCTTGCTTCCCTTGGCCCCGCTTCAAATGGCTTTAAGAAGTCAGTCCATTTTCCGTAGTTCTCATTCCATACATCGTCTAAAACCACAAGAAACTTCTTCCTGGATAAACCGTCCTTCAACTTAACTTGAAGTCCGTTAAGATCTTCGCCTCATGAGACAACCGTGATCGACCGCAAAATAGTCTTTGTTATGTCAAAAACATCAAAAACATCGACACACAAACCCATGCTCTCGTCTCGAAATAGCTTTTCACTCTAGCATCATTATACGGTAGTTGAGCCAATGCCGTCTTTCCAACACCACCCATCCCAACTATGGGGACTATGCTCAGCGTGGCATCAGAATTTTCGACCTCACTGACCAATCGTTTGAGTATCTGTGCTTCTTCCTTCTTCCTGCCAAAAAACTGAGTCTCCGGCAGAGAAGTGCTAGGGAGCTTTTGGTTGGTGTAGTCAGATTTGACCACAACATTCTCTCTCAAGCTTAAACGATCCTTCCTGATGGCAATATCTTCCAACCTGCCATTGATCTCCTGGACCTCGGTTTCAGACACGAGCAAGCACGGGTTTAGATTCGATCTGGAGGATTTATCTTGGCCAAAGCAAGAGAACTTCCAATTTATCCGACCTCTGCTTGTGCTGGATTTTGCCCCCGACTTAACCTGAGTGGCTTGGAGCGCGAGCACATCGAGCAAGTCTTCCATGTCATAGCCCAAGTCCCTAACATCGTCCAACCACAGCTTCACTAGACAATCATTGCTCAGTTGCCTGTCCTCTGCATCATCCAGCACTGCATTGATTGTATCTAGCGTCTTCCTCCAATTATTGAGCAGGTCGGTGCTGATTCCAGAGAAGGGCGGTGCTCCTTCCCTTTGCGCATTGCTCAATCCCAAAGAAGCTAATTTGTCGAATAGGACCTGAAAGAAGGAAGCCAAGACGGAACCCAAAACAATCTCTACAATGGCCATGGGTGAATCAGTCACTGTAGACAACAACAAAGGTTATGGTGAATCAAAGCGATAATGACCTAATAGAGAGAGAAAACTATGAAGTTGAGGAAGACCAAGACTTTCACCTACCAAAGAGAGGAAACGAAGATCAAGACTTTCGAGGATGCTTTCTATCCACAAGTGCTTGTTTCGTAATATTTAGAGATTATCCCAGATATTCGTAGTTTCCACAATCATATATCTGTTCATGTAAATAAACCATAAACTCAAGAAAATCAAGACCTTACTGGGTATGATGAACTTTTTTGTCGTGAAAGTGAAGCAAAATTGACAAAGAGCTGATGGGAAAGAAACTTTAATAAAATCTAGGAAGACAAGACTTATGGAGACTGATTATTATCTGACAATTAGCATTGATTATTGTTCTCTTGCTCAAAATCAACTAATTTTTGTCCAACTTTTGTCATTTTTAACCATGTTGTGATTTTTCGTTCATTAATCTCTATTGTACTTGTCTGTCAGAATTATGTCTAGATTTTCATTGATCTTTCCAAATTTAAGTTTAATAAATGAAAAAGGAGCAAAAAGATAAACTAAAAAAGATAAACAGCAAAAAACTGATAAAGAAAAAAAATGCAGGAATGGGGCAATAATACTTCGTGACTTGCGGAGAGTTCCACATCACATTTTTGTTTTGTTTTCTTTAAATGAAGATGCAATCTAAAGTTGTTAACATGCATAAAGATTGTCCTAGATTTTCCAATTTATAACATTTGATTTATGAAAGGAAACGTGCAAATATTACAATTAATAATAATCCACACCAAATGGCCTAGATGTGCATGATAATGCTTGTCCACGAAAATTCTAATTTTTCTAATATAATTGTCATGATACAAATATAATGCAATTCTATCTTAATATGTAATGAAAAATCATAAATTAGAGGTCAATTTTGGCTCGAACAAGTACGCGTGCAGATGTATCACCTCATTAAAACAACTAGGCCAAATTAAGATCAACAAATCACCATGAATTATGCAATCAAGCCACAACTTTAATCTGGCCAGCAAGTACTTGACATCAACCTCCCTTGCTGCATCAGTTTTGAGGGAAAAAGGGAGCAAGTAGATAGATGTCTCTTACCTATTTCGAGTAGACTTCCTCGAGTTGACTGGAAAACGGGTTTAGATCAACGAGTAGGCAGCTTGTTGTGACGACTCACGACGCCACTTAGCGATGATCACGGCAAGGCAGTGGTGGGAACGTAGCAATGAGGTGAGGACTCCGGCTTGACCACGGCAGCAGGTGAACTGTGATGGGCGATGGGCCTATCTCGAGCTGAATAACGGCTCTATCATGCCCAGTTTGAATGACAAAATATGACTAGCGATCTGGACAAATCAACAACAGCAATCCAGCAAGCACGAGCGCTAAGTTCGGATGAACAGAAGGAGAATACTATTGAGCAGGGGGACAAGCACTGGATTCGGCGGTTCACAGTCTATGCGTGTGACTTCAGCTATGGCAATGCGTGGCCACCACTTGCAACGACGAATAATAATATCAATGGAGCTACTACTAGAATAGCAGATCAAAGATGTTGGTGATTGGCGACAATCAACATGCATGCAAGACGGGAATTGAATGAAAGTGGAGTCTCTAGGTGTGAGTTTGATAATGATGGTGGTGGTGGTGGTTGAAAACAATTATTGGATCACGTTCACCAATTGTGACCAAAGATCGGTCCCTTCAATGCTAAAACAAAATGATTGAATTGGTAGGACCTTGCCTTAGACTTTTTTGTCACCATGTCCCATCAAGCATAGCATTAAGGACTTGACCCCTCCGAGGACGATGACCCCCCATCCGCCAATTGTTAAAGGCCTAAAAGCTACACACGATTGATAAAATCATATCTTGTTGCTTGATTCAAATAAAAATATTCGCCCGTTTTCCATTCCAAAAGAAGAGCCCTTAAGACTCGTATGGTGCTACGAATTGTTATCATAAAATTAGCCCATATTATTTCGGATACTTTTATCAATCATGTTTTAAATATCGGAAGTTATAAAAATCAACAAGAGTGGAGAATCTAAATATAATTGTCCTGATACGAATATAATGCAATTCTATCCTAATATGTAATGAAAAATCATAAATTAGAGGACAATTTTGGCTCGAACAAAGAGAAAAAAGAAAAACTAAAAAAGATAAACAGCAAAAAACTGATAAAGAAAAAAAAAATGCAGGAATGGGGCGATAATACTTCGTGACTTGTGGAGAGTTCCACGTCACATTTTTGTTTTGTTTTCTTTAAATGAAGATGCAATCTAAAGTTGTTAACATGCATAAAGATTGTCCCAGATTTTCCAATTTATAACATTTGATTTATGAAAGGAAACGTGCAAATATGACAATTAATAATAATCCACTCCAAATGGCCTAGATGTGCATGATAATGCTTGTCCACGAAAATTCTGATTTTTCTAATATAATTGTCCTGATATGAATATAATGCAATTCTATCCTAATATATAATGAAAAATCATAAAATAGAGGTTAGTTTTGGCTCAAACAAGTAGCGTGCAAATGTATCACCTCATCAAAACAACTAGGCCAAATTAAGATCAACAAATCACCATGATCAAGCCATGCAACTTTAATCTAGACAGCAAGTATTTGACATCAACTTCCCCAAAAATTTTGTTATTAAACTTGCAATCGGGATTATAGATAGACATGAATTCGGTTTGAGAACCAAAATTTTGTTGCTGCTGTTGCCTCTTCTTTTGCTCAAAAGATTGCTTTTCCCTCCATTAATTGAAAGATTTCCGAAACGATGGGTGGTTGCTTTCGTGTAATGAATTTCTACCAGATGCTTTAGTGAGCGAAGTTCTGGCTGCATCGGTTTGAGGGGAAAAGAGAACAAGTAGATAAATGTCTCTTACCTATTCCGAGTAGACTTCCTGGAGGAGACCGTTGAATGGGATTAGATCAACGAGAGCAATCCAACAAGCACGAGCGCTAGGTTCAGATGAGCAGCAAGAGAACACTGTTGAGCAAGGGGACGAGCATATGGTGAAGCCAAGTGATAATGAGATAATGGACAGAGAAAACTATAAAGTCCAGGAAGACCAAGACTTTTCACCTACCAAGACATGAAATGAAGACCAAGACTTTCGAGAACGCTTTCTATCCACAAGTGCCTGTTTTGTAATATTAAGAAATTATCCCAGATATTTTTGGTTTCCACGATCATATATATTTCTTCATGTAAATATACCATAAACTTAGGAAGACCAAGACTTTACTAGACATCATGTACTTTTTGGTCTAGAAGGTGAAGCAAAAGTGAAAAGGAGCAAATGGGAAGGAAAGTTCAATAAAATCCAGGAAAACCGAGACTTTGCAAGATGCATATTGGCTTTAGTGCTTCACTTTTTAAAATGCAGGTATGGGACAATAATACCCTTCGTGTCTTGCGGAGAGTTCCACTATACATCTTTTCTTTGTTGTTTTTTAATGAAGATGCAATCTTTAATTACTAACATGCAAGATATGATTTTCTCACATTTTCGAATTTATAACATGTGATTAATATAAGGAAACGTGCAAATAAATGAAATCCTATCCAAATATGTAATGAAAAATCTTCAATATGCCCAAATATGCAAATATGAACACATATAAAATTGTGAATATAACTTTCCCCAAAAATGTAAATGGTTAATATGCAATGTCCTAAATGTACAACACCTAATAAATCTACATGTGGTTTTATTAAGCATGCCCCCTAATATACAAATCTAGAATGCAACGAATGTATAGGCGATGTAAACATGAAAATTACATGTGAAGATGTGATCAAGAGTGACCTAGTGATATGCAATTTCATGAACACCGACGGCAAAAATATTCAACAAATCACCACGAATTATGCAATCTAGCCATGCAACTTTAAAATGGACAGCAAGTATTTGAACATCAACTTCCCCAAAAATTTTGTTATTAAACTTGCAATCGGGATTATAGATAGACATGAAATCGGTTTAAGAACCAAATTTTGTTGCCGCTGTTGCCTCTTCTTTTGCTCAAAAGATTGCTTTTCCCTCCATTAATTGAAAGATTTCAGAAACGATGGGCGGTTGCTCTCGTGTAATGAATGTCTACCAGATGCTTTAGTGAGCGAAGTTTTGGCTGCATCGGTTTGAGGGGAAAAGAGAGCAAGTAGATGGATGTCTCTTAGCTATTCCGAGTAGACTTCCTGGAGGAGACTATTGAACGGGATTAGATCAACGAGAGCAATCCAACAAGCACGAGCACTAGGTTCGAATGAGCAGGAAGAGAGCACTATTGAGCAGGGGGATGAGCATATGGTGAAGCCAAGTGATAATGAGCTAATGGAGAGAGAAAACTACCAAAGAGATGAAAGGAAGACCAAGGCTTTCGAGAATGCTTTATATCCACAAGTGCTTGTTTTGTACTATTTAGAGATTATCCCATATATTTGTAGTTTCCACTATCATATATTCTGTTCATGTAAATATACCAGAAACTCAGGAAGACCAAGACTTTATTAGACATCGTGTACTTTTTGGTCTAGAAAGTGAAGCAAAAGTGAAAAGGAGCAAATGGGAAGGAAAATTCAATAAAATCCAGGAAGACCAAGACTTTGCAAGACGCAAATTGGCTTTGGTGCTTCACTTCTCAAGAAGAAAAACCAAAATAGAAAAACAGAAAAAAACTTATAGAGAAAATAAAATGCAGGATTGGGATGATAATACTCTTCGTGGCTTGCGGAGAGTTCCACCATACATATTTTCTTTTTTTTTTTTTTAAGGATGCAATCTAAAATTACTAACATGCAAGATATGATTTTTCCTACATTTTCCAATTTATAACATGTGATTTACAAAAGGAAACGTGAAAATAAATGAAAATCTATCCTAATATGTAATGAAAAATCTTCAATAAGCCCAATTATGCAATATGAACACACTTAAAATTGTGAATATAACTTTCCCCAAAAATGTAAATGGTTAATATGCAATGTCCTAAATGTACAACACCTAATAAATCTACATGTGGCTTTATTAAGCATGCCCCCTAATATACAAATCTTGAATGCAACGAATGTGTAGGCAATGTAAACATGAAAATTACATGTGAAGATGTGATCAAGAGTGACCTAGCGATATGCAATTTCATGAACACCGACGGCAAAAATATTCAACAAATCACCATGAATTATGCAATCAAGCCATGCAGCTTTAAAATGGACAGCAAGTGTTTGAACATCAACTTCCCCAAAAATTTTGTTATTAAACTTGCAATCGGGATTATAGATAGACATGAAATCGGTTTACGAACCAAATTTTGTTGCTGCTGTTGCCTCTTCTTTTGCTCAAAAGATTGCTTTTCCCTCCGTTAATTGAAAGATTTCAAAAACGATGGGTGGTTGCTCTCGTGTAATGAATGTCTATCGGATGCTTTAGTGAGCGAAGTTCTGGCTGCATCGGTTTGAGGGGAAAAGAGAGCAAGTAGATAGATGTCTCTTACCTATTCCGAGTAGACTTCCTGGAGGAGACCGTTGAACGGGATTAGATCAACGAGAGCAATCCAACAAGCATAAGCGCTAGGTTCGGATGAGCAGCAAGAGAACACTGTTGAGCGGGGGAGGAGCATATGGTGAAGCCAAGTGATAATGAGCTAATGGAGAGAGAAAACTATAAAGTCCAGGAAGACCAAGACTTTTCACCTACCAAGACATGAAATGAAGACCAAGACTTTTCACCTACCAAGATATGAAATGAAGACCAAGACTTTCGAGAATGCTTTCTATCCACAAGTGCCTGTTTTGTAACATTAAATTATCCCAGATATTTGTAGTTTCCACGATCATATATATTTCTTCATGTAAATATACCATAAACTCGGGAAGACCAAGACTTTACTAGACATCATGTACTTTTTGGTCTAGAAGGTGACGCAAGAGTGAAAAGGAGCAAATGGGAAGGAAAGTTCAATAAAATCCGGGAAAACCAAGACTTTGCAAGGCACAAATTGGCTTTGGTGCTTCACTTTTTAAAAAGACAAACCAAAAAAAAAAAAGCAAAAAACTGATAAAGAAAATAAAATGCAGGAATGGGACGATAATACTCTTCGCGACTTGTAGAGAGTTCCACTATACATTTGTTTTTTTTTTTTTAATGAAGATGCAATCTTAAATTACTAACATGCAAGATATGATTTTCCTACATTTTCCATTTTGGAAACGTGCAAATATGACAATTAATAATAATGCACTCCAAATGGCCTAGATGTGCATGATAATGCTTGTCCAAATACTAATATAATGAAACTCTATCCTAATATGTAATGAAAAATCTTCAATATGCCCAATTATGCAAATATGGACACCCTTAAAATTGTGAATATAACTTTCCCCAAAAATGTGAATGGCTAATATGCAATGTCCTAAATGTACAACACCTACTAAATCTACATGTGGTTTTATTAAGCATGCCCCCTAATATACAAATCTAGAATGCAAGGAATGTATAGGCAATGTAAACATGAAATTACACGTGAAGACGTGATCGAGAGTGACCTAGCGATATGCAATTTCATGAACACCGACGGCAAAAATATTTGACAAATCACCATGAATTATGCAATCAAGCCATGCAACTTCAATCTGGACAGCAAGTATTTGAACATCAACTTCCCCCAAAATTTTGTTATTAAACTTGCAATTGGGATTATAGATAGGCATGAAATCGGTTTAAGAACCACAATATTGTTGCTCAAAATAATGATTGTGCCTCAATTAATAAAAAGATTTCAGAAAGAATAGGTGGTTGCTCTCGTGTAATAAAGGCCCACCAAATACTTCAGGTAGCAAAGTTCTGGCTGAATCGGTCACGGAAATGGGCGGCCACCGTTTGCAACTACAAAAGACAATATCGATAGAGCTACGACTAGAATCGGTTTGCAGGGGATTGGGCAGATCAAAGAGGGTGGTGTTGAATAATCTACGTCCTACCATTGGCGGTCAAGCAAGAAAAATCAAAGTTGGCCTCCGAATCTTAGTCAACTTTGCTTAATAAAGAAGGAAGAGAAACAGGCCGTGAATCAGGCTCCAAGCTGTCACTTTTAGAAAACAAGTCGACAGATCAACTTGCCTTAGCCAAACCTTTCCTCTATTAGATAACAAGTTGGCCTACATGCTCCGCGTGAGCGCACAATTCATATGAAAGCCAAGCTTTTCCTCTGTTATTACTTGAAGTGAAATGGTGTTATGCCTTGTTAATACGCAATGTGTATGTGCTAATTATTGTTATCCAGGAGAAGTCACAATCATGCACTATCGGAAGCATGTATCCAAATGATTCACGATTTGCATTTTAACTGTATAATGATTTTGAAGCTGAAAATCTATACCCAAAGGCTCGAAATTATGTCAAACTCCATCATTACATGGTAATCGTGGCTGAGGATTCTGCAACTAGTGATCTCGTGCCAACATATGCCTCCCTGGCAGCTCCTTGAGCATCGGGAGCCAAAATCGCGTCGAAGGATCACTGCTGAAGTGGATGACTTGAGCAACATATACGACCATGAAGGTCAAAGTTGCAGTAAGGAGTAGAAGAGCTAGAGAAGACGATCTGGTTAGGGCAGAACAATCCAACCGGTTCAAGTGATTTCAGGATCAACACAATGCAGAAACAAATTCAATCGATTTGATAAGATGTTGAATTTTAATTGCCTTCGTAATATTTTGGTAATATAAATGTTGATAGTTCGTGCAAAGGCAGTCAGGCTGTTGTGAAGCGGGATGAGCGGGTTTAACAACTTGTCAAACAAGAACGTGCAATCCCTCTAATCGAGGTGCTCACTCTCCTTTGGCGCGGGCTTTCCCAAATCTTAATCACTTACGATGTTGAGAAATATACTAAAAGGTAGTTGTCACTAGCCTATTTAAGTAGGCAAGGTACCAGCTAGAGAACGTTCTTTTTCCTACGAGCTAGAGATCCTAAGTTTGGAGATTTGATTACACTAATTACTTATTAGGTGATTCGTGTCGTCTTTATCAAATTATGGATTCTAAGTATTCTTCAATACGTGTCCATACATGCTCGTTTGATTGAGATTGACTCGAAAGTGTAATCTACTCGTTAAATGAAGCTAAAGAAATCGAGTCACGATATTAAAATAAAGAAAACAACACAACACAACACAACACATCAAAATGACAATAAAGGACGAACAAAAGTAAAGTGTGAAAAGTAAATCCGATACGAGACGAGCAAAGTATACGCTGCCTCATTTTTAAGTTTCGGGACATGAACCTGTGAGTTAATTTTCAAAGTCAAGTCAAAGTCTAATTTTGGCTAATGGGAATTACCTACGGTTTCACTAACGATATTAAAGACGAAAACATTCAACGAACTAAAGTAATACTATCATAAAAGCAAATAAGATTTTTTTTATCTTATTATTATATTCCGACCCAAAAAAATCTTATTATTATTATTATTATCCTCATCCTCATCATCATTGTTTTTTAATTTATAAATGTTTTTTTTTCTTTTCTCCTTTAAATTTGACAATGATATGTTTGTTCATCTTTAAACAGTGATAATTACTAGTATTCATTCTTCTTTTTTTCTGTGTAAACTCAACAAGATTGACGGATACCAGATATTTTACTCGAAAAGTAATGGGAAGTGGGTTGATGGGTGAGCAAGGCCGAATTATGTAAGTGTAACATCCTTAATCCATCCTTTTAATGTGGTATTTTATATTTTTGATTTGTTCTCTAACTTTAATTGTATGACTTGGAAAAGATGTCAGAGATGGGCACGAAGACGAATTCGGGCTCGACACGACACCAGAGACTGAGGATGAGGCATCATCGGTTGAATTCTTATGTCGATTCCTTGTGGTTGATCGTCGAGGAGGCTAGACCGCATGGTAATTGCATAAAATTTCTATTCTTGTAATAGAAAAAGAACATAAATGCATTTGATAACTGCACAAAATTTCTATTCCTAAAATAGAAAAAGAACAAAAATATATTTGGTACGACAAAAAAAATTTCTTTTCCCAATTTTTTTCATTTGAGTCTATATCTTTTACTTAACTATAAGTACAAGTTATAAGTGAAAAGACTAATATAATAAAAAAATTAGTAGGTTGCATATTACGTTTTTGCGGTTCGGTTCGGTTTCGAAAAAATTGAAACCAATTTAGACCACAGAAAACGGTTTTGTTCGATTTGTGAACCGGTTTTTCTCAAGAAAGTACTCAAACCACAGATTTAAACCTTTTTTTGGCTCACTAGTTAGAATTATACAATTTTTCTGAGGCATTAACGTTATGATGCGAATGTGCTACTTTTTCTCTCAATTCGCTCCACACTTGGATTGTCCATGGCAGCTTCAATATCAAACATCTTCAACAAGACTCTCCTGAGCGTCGGGTTGATTTTGCTAAGGTCGAAAAATGGGTCAAACTCGAAGGACTGGATTGAAGAAGAGCTTCCAATGACTCAGAAGACCTCGACATGTTTGCGTTACTTAAGTATTCTGAATCAAAATACACACTTTGCAAAGAAGCAATGTCGCAACGGGTATAGTTCAACTACATACAATACAATAAACATCCTGTCATCTGTCCAACGTAACACGGCGATGCCTAAGCGCGTTCACTGAAGAACCTCACAGGAGGAATCTTTCGAAACTTCTTATGACCAATTAATGCCCTTTTGATCCCATACGCCACTGAAAGTTACTGAACATCGTGCAGACATTTTCGAATCGCAGCTTGGAAATCATCGGACTCGACATCTGTGGGAGGAGGGTACATGCAAAAAACATACGAGATGGGCTTGGATACCACCATCAGTTTCTTGGTGGGTATAACATCCGACAGTTCCCCAAAGCTCTGCTCGGCAAAAGGAAATGACTGGGTGAGAAAGAAGAAGCTGCTCCTTCCCAGCTTCTCCACCTGGAACAATAATCACAAAGTTGTCAAAACAACACTGGGGACTAACAACGGATATCTACAAAAGATGTCTTGAACACACGATTATGAACTTTAGCAAAAGAGTTTAAAGATGCTACTCAAAACCGAGCTGAAAGATTCATCTGTGTAACTACCGATTAGCAAAGATACACTCGAGAACAAACATAAAAATCTAGTTTACTGGCCATGAATGGAAATTGCAAGCTCTCTACCAAGCCTGATCAGTTGATCACCTATTCCTTACAAGATCCCATGAGCAAGCAAATGCAGCAATGACAAAAAATTGTTACCATCTTTTAGAAACGGTAATTACCTGTAGTTTTGAAAACCTAAGGTTATTCATGGTAAGAACAACCGGCACTTCACATAAAGTGTCAGCAAGTAGCCGAATTGCCAGATACTCGAAGAAATTCTTCATGAAACTTATCTGTCCATCAAAATTTTTTTCAAGTCCACAAACTTCAAAATCAAGAAACCACAAGACGCATTTCACTGACTTCCACAGAACTTGACTCTCTGTAGATTTCCCTATGATGGTTTGGTATGGGTGATGGAGTCCCCACATAATCTTGACATGAGTCAATGACGGGTCAGACACGGAGGATTCCAGAAGACGTGTGGTGGCAACCATTCT